GGCATGCAACGACGAGTGTATGGTGTCCACCGCATGAGGCGCGTCATGCGGTGCACACCATACACTCGTCGTTGCATGCCCTGCCAGCGAAGAAGCACCGCGACGGCCACTGCCGCTCGGCAGTCGTGATCCGCCCAACGGTATACCGCCAGGGCGAAAGCCATGGCGACGTTGCTACCCGGCGGCACGCTCGCCACTAACACTACAGGCCGCCAAACCCTGAGCTACAACACGGCTCCATGGGCAGCATCCTAAAGCAAGTCACGGAGTGAATGCCAGGCTTACATGGCGCCCCTGAAGTTGTTCTGTCGATAGATATACGTTGGGATTACGGTTGTGCTCAAGGTGCTCGGGCCCCTACGCCCTTATCAATAATGGATATATGCACAAAGATGCACAAAGACACCTAAGCCGAAAGGCACGCTCGGGCAATGAGAAAGCCGGCCTCTGTGGCACGAAGCGCCCAGGACACCTCCACGGTGGCGCCGGGGGCACACCTCAACATGCGGAGTTTCGGGGAAAATGTGAAGAGCTTGCAGTGAAATATCCACGGCAGGAAATCTGCAGGGCGGGAAAGCTCTTCTGTTGGAGCGGTGTTCGAGAATATCATTGAGAACATACCATTTTTTATGCAGTGGCAGCATGGCGTGTATAAACATTTGCATCAAATCGCCTCGTCTTGCGGCAATTTCAAGGATTTGGGGAGCTCAGTTCACACTTCGCGGGGATTTGGATCGGAGGCGGCTAGGATTGCGGAACAAAAACCACCTTGCTTGCATGCAGTTCTCCATCGCAGTCCAGTCACACCAGCGGCCGTGATGGCGCTGAAACGACGACAACGGCCATGGCAAATGCGAGTGGTTCGAAAAGCTCTTTCCCCCTGTATACAAGAAAGTCTTGGCTTTCACATGCGTGTTGCTGCAACTCTGGGTGGGCTGATCATCTGCCTCGATGCCTGCATGATCTCCTACGTCGCTACACTCTGTGTTTGGACAACGCCTGCAGGAAGCGGGTTTGAGCAGCGACATGTCTTGCCCAATTTACAATCACTAGTCGCCCGGATCGTCTGTAATTTCTCAGATCGAAGCTGTGGCATGACGGCGATGTTCAGTGACAATGAGCGGCACTGCGTGCATCAGGACAGTGCCTGCTGAAGCTTCTTCACGTTGCTTTCCGCCTCCTGCACGGCCTGTAAACATGTTTACAGGGACTCGGGTCAAGGGCCCAAGGACCAAACGCACAGAAGCGAACGCTAGTTGGGGGGAGCCTTCTGGATTTGGAGGATGAACTCTTGCCTTGCAGGCCCTCCGACTGTGCTTTGCTTCTAGGAGTCTTGGCTACTCGGGCGCCGTACAGCATAAGAGGGAAGAGTGAAAAAGCAAGCCTGGCCTTGCACGGCTGTGGACCCTTCGCTTAGCCCGTGTTTCGGGATGCACCGGCCCGTGTTGCTTCGCGTTGCCCCTTTTTGGCCTGGCCTTCTCCCGCTTCTCTGCCTCTCGCTTCGCCTTACTCACAGTCAGTCTGGATCTTCAGGATTTCAGTTTATCAAGGGGCCTTGAGCGGGATTTAAAGGCTTTCGTCCGTGATGGTTTTGGTGCTGCTTTTAAACTTCAGGGTGTCAGTTCAGAGGAGGAGGGGGAGCTCCAACACGAAGATCTTCGATTGGTTGGGGCACAGGTCCAGCTAGCTGTTTCGAGCTCTGACCACTGACATCCTCTAACTGCCACATCCCAAACCACTGATCTGCACCCAACTACATCCTCAAAACTCGAAGCTCTCAGAATCCGAATCCATTATGCCTACACCTCGAGACTCCCACTTGTTCGGCTGCATCGGCTGTCTGCTTGCGGAGGGCCTGGCACACCAAGGAGATGATTCTTGAAACGTGTGCTGATGATGATGCCGATGATGGGAGGATGGTGATGATGAGGATGAAAATGGTAGCCGACTGCTGCTAAAAATCGAATGACATGACTGAGTAGTAACCTTGTGGCACCGTCATCACGTGTGTCGAAACGATTACTGCTGTGGTTACTGCTGCTGCTGCTGAGCACTTGTGCTCGTTGCTCCTAGTCTTTCTACATCTGGTGCCCCTGTGCAGATGTCCTGGGCGTATGGCTGTGGCTGTGTTTTGGAACGCGCTTGAAAAAACGAGCCCTTCCTGAACCAGCCCTTCCGTGCTGGCAAGAAGACAACATCAAGAAGAGTATCAATTAAACACATCATCCCGAATCTGTCAAAGGCTATCTCCTGCACCATTCGGGCACTCACAATACTTGCACTCCTGCTCATGACATGAAGTACACAGGCGACTGTAACACCAGACCCTGTGAGCCCTGAACTAAGCACGTAAAACTTTAAGGCCCTAAAACACTAAACCCTTAAGCCCTTGAGACTAAACATGGCCTCGATCTCTTTCTTGTCAGCCTGAACCTGGCGGAGCACAGCAGCAGGCATCATCACTGCTAGGTCATGCTGGGTTGCCCCGCGGCTCCGCTTAGCACCAATGAAATTATGTAATTACACGTCATGCTCTCGCTGTCATCGCTGCGCTACTTCTGCTTCTGCCCGTTCCGGTTTGAAGCCTTCGGTGCATTTTACTGAATTTATCCCTCCAATTTATGGGACTCTGAAGAGGTCGCGCTGCGGAAGCCGAAGCTCAGATCTGGCCTTCTTGCCGAACTCGTGGGCTTCGGGGTTCAGGTCGGCGAGAAGGGTCTGCCCAGGGAACTCCGTCCGGGTTGTGTTCAGGGATAGTTACGAGTTTATGGGGTTTAGGACATGTTTAGGATGGTTTAGGGTCCCGATTCTTACAGAGGCGATGTGTGCACTGATGCCGGGCTTAGCGCTCTCGCAATGGCTTTGGGTGATCGTAAGCACGCCGCCTTGGCACTGACTTCCACCAACGCCGTGTTGACCTTGGCGTCCACCTGAAGATCAGGTCTGTCACAGCCCAACACTCGAGAACTCAACTTCTGAAAACTTGAACGTTGAGAGTCACAATATGACTCCGGGATGCAGTGTCAACCTGAATCAGGACAAACTGTCCTAAAGCAAAGTCTGGACCCCCTTCCTTGTCTTCTTCGCGGTGCGCTGCCCCTACTTGCCCGAGACTGACCTCCACGCGCATCGCCCTCGATGCGAACTCCAGGGTATTCTGAGTCTCACCGACCTGGCAGTGGTAGCCGGTAGCGCTGCAACTCACGTTCTGTTAACAAGAGGTCAGGGTCTGTCCAATCTAAGGAGTGACTATGCAGTAGATCTGCTTTCTTCACTTGCAAAGCGAGAGGTAGGGCACGTGTTCGAAGGCCGGGTTCACACACACCAGCAGCGCTGTGCGGCAGTTCCCCCCGATAGAGCCATCGAGGATCCTGCCAGAAACGAAGATAACTTGAAACACAGTGGGAGGGGCTAAAATTTCAAAGAGCTTGAACGGCGCGAGAGGTTGTTGCGTCAGGGCTTGATGGCTACTTTCCTGCTGCAGCAAACCTGCAGCTCCACAGACTACGTCCTGGTGAGCTTGCTGTCTCGCAAAGGTATGTGGGACTTGCGCGCGGCCAGTGCGCTGACCACGTTCCTCACGCTAAGCAACTGAGGTACGTGCAGGGCGAGACATGAATTCACACTTCTCATGACCCGGCAGCGCAAGTCGCTTGATCGATTGATACTCCCATCGTAGCCTCGACAGAGGAATGAAGGAGGGGACCCCGAGCCACTCTCAAAGCTCTCAACGGCAGGGTCCCGAAAGCCAGAAGGCTTCGATTGATGTTCGTGGCTTCCTGGCACGAGCGAACAACATCATTCATTTGAAGACAGATGGTATAATGGCATCACATGGCCCAAGACCCCAAACCACCGCGTCGACGCCTGAAAGCGCATGCCCTCGGAGCCAGACTTCTTGACCTTGACGCTTCAGCTGCTGCTCGTGTTCACTGGGCAAGCGAAAAAGAGAAGATTCAGATGCTGCTGTCTAGCTTTGAGCTGCGGCCGGTTGCCATCCAGCTCACAATGCACTCTTTCTCCTATGGGTTGACATGTGTGACATGTGGTCGGAGTGGACTTTCTCGGCACACCGGAATCTCGCACCACCTTTCGCCAAAGACATCGGCCAGCAAAATCCCAAGCTTTGAATTTGCAAACTGCACCGCGGCAATGGCATCTTTCGATATACTAGAGTCGCTGCACTCTGACCTGTTCTCAGGGCTGTGGCGCGCTCTGATCCAGCGAGGTCCACGACATTCAGCCTCCGCACTAGCATGCTCCAGCAAGACTTCCACATCTCTGCAGCCCGCCAAACATAAGGAAAACACATGCTAACGGTTACGAACATGCGTCGTCCTGCTCATAACGAAAAATCGAAGCCCGGCCTCGCGATGGTGCACTCCACCTTCTGACCCGTCTTTGCAGCTTCGAAAACGCGCTCGCGTTTGCCTGCCAGAGCTGCAGCAGATATCGTAAGAGCAACAGCCCAACAGTAGCCCCTGCACAGTGGACTCCAGGATGACTTGTGCAAAAGTCGTGTGATTGCTGGTCCAGGGGTCCAGAATGTTTCTCGGAAGTCCTTCCAACAATCATAGTTCACAAGACCGAGTGGCTGATGCGAAGCTGGAAGATCGCATGGCTCCGGCTGGAAGCCTTGTGGGAAACACTCGCCAACAGCACATGCCTTGCCTGGAATCAGTCGCAAAGACCCCTGGAAATAGAGCCGCCACTGCAGTGCCATTGCCTGTGCCTCTGCCCTGAACCATTGGCGCGCTCAGAATTGGCCTTGTTCATCTTGGTCTCAGCATAGACGACGTTGGCTCGAGCTCGTGTGAAAGCTTCCTCCCAGATGTGCTGGGCAACGCAGGGCATCCGTGGGTGTCAAGAGAGAGAGGCTTCAGCATGGCGTGTTCAAGGTTCGGTGTCCCTGCCCTCCTCAGACTTCATCTGCTAGTAAAACAATCTGAAAGAGTGCTCTTTCTTGCTTTCTTGCTGGCTGGCGGCGAGCATCTCGTCGGGCTTCGAGCATCGAATCCACGTCAACCCATTGACGATGCCGCCGTCCCGAACATTCAGGTTGTGTCCTTGAGGCAGCAAGGAATAAGGCGCATGTGCGTCTGCAGCTTCATTCTCGCCATTGATGTGGAGTTCGACTACATCCACGGGCCATTACTGTGTTACAGTCAGGGCGAGCTTCCGATACCGCTCTGGTGTTCAGAGTTCAGCAAGTCGTCCACTTGTTCGTTGTAGACCTGCTGATGTGACACTGACAAGGAGGCAATAGCCTGATATGAAGCTGGCGGTCCAAGAAAGCATCCCGTCACGCGCGCTCGCACGCGCACGCGCCCCTGTTAATTAGCCTTTCCAGCCTGGACGGCTGCTGCCTCGATATCGTAAACATTCGCGACATCCTGGCTGATCATCAAAAACCTCGGATCTCATCAGGCCCAGAGCGCCTACCGGAGTTTTGGGTCTAAGGGTCTGTTTACTAGGCTCATGGGAGGTAGGAAGAGGAGTGTTAGTCCACCCCAAAACCCCATTGGTGGAGTCTTCTTCTGCCTCCATCTTCCGAGGGATCCGACGGATGGAAACACCACAGAGAACAACGCGATCACCTGAAGCCCCTTCTCCACAACCTCCCTGAACGGGCCCTCTATTTTAAAAGAGCCCTACTCTTAAACCCCTAAACCCTAAACCCCTAAACGCTAAACCCTAACGTAAGCTTCTGCAGCCCAGCAGACAGGGAGGCCACGAGGCGCGGGAGGAGCCCCGCCTTGCTTGGAGTCAGTGAGTGTTCCGATCTTGGCTACGGAGCCATTGAGTGGAGGGTTTGGGGTTGGGGGTTTAGGGTTTGGGGTTTAGGGTTTAGGGGTTTGGGGAATAAACGGTTCAGGGGTTTAGGGGGTTGAGGGTTTAGGATTCCTACTTTATCATACCAGTAGCTACTGTTGCTCTTGTTCCAGTCTTCATTTGCCGTAGCTAGGACATGGAGAGGTCTGCCGGCCTAAACCCTCAACAGTCATGAGAGGACATGCCTTTTGCCTTCGTCGCAAAGCGGGATTTCGAGCAATCACCCCCGGGGCGCCTCTTCGCCTTTGGAGCTCTGGTGCAGCAGCGAATGCGTCTGGGCATCAGGGAAGAGTAATTGGGCGACCCAACATCGGAGAATGCGAGGTCCGAGGTGTGTGAAGTGTGAAGTGTCTTCCTGCACGACTTGCCATAATCTTTACTGACGATGCTTCTTCAGGTCATCCTTTGAAGGGGCTGCGCCGGCATCCCTAGTTAAAAGTTGACCCAGATTCCCAGATCCTCACCCTTGGGGCCCGAATGACTGCAACGAGAGAGACTTGCCACCTCCACGGATCGAGAGACGACCACGGAAAATGAAGGCTTTTTCGAAGACTCTTATGTACCACCAATTGTGTGCGGCATGATCCCACCACCGCAAGAAAAATTATAGTTGATAGTACAGCAGCCGTGTATGAATCTCGCGGTGGGCACTTGCTTGCCTTGCCGGATCCCGTCTGCCCGTAGGCAAGAACGGTGCCATTGATGCCCCGCAAAGCCTGGAGCCGTCAAACTTCTTTTCGACTTTACCGGAGCGCTAGGCTTGAAGCGCAAACTGGGAGCCTCAGGGCCCCTCTGAGTGTCCGTGGTGCTCTTTGACACTGTAAAGACATGCTGCTATGCTTCAGACCCCTCTGCGAGGAGCAGGCGGTGGCACGTGCTTTACAACTATGATTTCTTTGCAAGGCATCCGCAGAACCCGTCTTCCGTGCCTCGCGCAGGACCGGAAGCCCGATCTGCATGAAGACATCACGCTGCGCCTTATGCTTGGCTGCAAGTTGCAGCTCCTGCACCCGTCAAACCCACTGAGCCAAGGCCTAGATTGCTCAAACTTCAAAACTACTTCGAGTGCCCCTGCCCCAACGGCAGTCAACTCTACAGTTTAGACTGACACCTGAGACAGCCGTGCGCGCATTCTTCACTTCATCCCAATTTGGGGCACTCTTGCCGGACATTCATGAGCCCGGAAATGTTTCAGGAGCTTGCCTACTGCAACAGTCTAGCCCTCCACAGTTGGTCGGAGCGGCTGATTGCTCCCCAAAGACTCCATCGAAGGCAAACTCCTGCAGGACTGTCAATGCGTGTAGGGATCCACACGAAGCTGCGTGTCACGGCCTGCTGAGCCTTGTGCTGCCACGATTACCTCTACAATAGATCTGAGACTTCGCGATTCTCTGACAGAACAGCGTGGCACCGCGTTCAAATCAAGGCAATGCCCTCTCGGGAATCCCCCTTCATCCCAGCACGACATATTTTCGCGCACATAATGTCTGGTGCATGTTGTGCTCGTTTGGCAGCAGGGTGCGCAGAAATCTATGGTTGGGCATGCCGTGGCTGCGAAAATGGCCATCGAATCGAGGACTGTTAATAGTTCGTAGATGCGAGAAAGCGCAGGGCCAGTCTATACATCACAAGCACACAATGTCGTGAGGGGCCGAGGCCTCGGATGCTTTCCGGGGTTCCTCCACGCGATTGGATTCGAAGCCCTCTAGGCTTTGATGTCCGGCGCGTCCCATCCCTTTGCCCTCAACGCGGCTGCGATGTAGTTGCATCGCTTGGCATTTACCCCGAAATCACTGTCTCCCAGTCGCGAGGCGCTCTTGACGGCTACGCTGCTGTCTCCCACGCTCACTTCGAAGTCATCCACGAAGGGCTGGCCACCGTTGAAGAATCTGGCAAAGTTGCCAATGCCCGACTTGAACTCCAAGCGCGCATAGCCCTTGTCAGCAAGGGTGTCGACAGCGTAGGAGTAGCCACCCAAGTCCACCTCACCCTGCCCAGCCTGTGGATAAGCATCGATGGCGGCTTTGAGCTGGCTGACAGCATCAGCCTTGCTCGTGCCTGCTGGCCACTTCCAAGGGCTCATCTTCGTCTTGTCTGTGGACTGGGTGGACCAGCAATTGTTGGCGCCGGGGTTGCAGGCCGACACGTCCGCTGTTGCTGTCTCAGCACCCAACAAGAGCATCGCTGCTGCGGCTGGGGCCGCCAACGCAGCGCGGCGGCTAAGAGGAGGGACGAAGGCTGGCAAGGCGCAGAACAAAAGAGCACCCGCAGCCAGCAGCGCCACCCCCGAACGTCCACGGCGCTGCGCCATGACCAGCTAAACTAAGGAGGAATTGGCGGGAAGAATCTTGTGGCTGCAGATCAACAACTCAACAACGTGAAATGCTCCGCTTCACTTCTGGACGGGCCTAGTGATATCAGAATCAGATATTTCACGTCAGCTTACAGAATCGTCCGACGACATCAAAGATGTCTCAACAAAAACACAATAAGATGCAGCCACCTTCGGCTCGGGTGAAGACGATGTCAGTTCTGCCTGCATTGCTGCACACATGAAAGACATGGAATGATGGAAGCCTCTGATTGCAGTTCTCAACGACGGCATCACACCGTCCAGACTCACGAGAGCCGTCAGCCTGGCCAGCAAGGAGCCGTTCGACAGTTTCGGCGTCGTTGCGTACCCGCACCTGGCTGCTCGTGGAGGCTGCAAGTGGGATGTCCGTGCGCTGTTCGGTGGAGAGATGGTGGTGTCATGAGAGCCAGTGTTTTAGTCTTGCTGTGACGCCTGCTTTGCTGCTGCTCTTCTACTGCAGCAACTCATGACACGAGTACATAGTACTGACTAGCGCGAGCATTCATACTCGTTGCCGCAGTAGCAGCAGCAATAGCAGCAGTAGCAGCAGCAGCGGCGGCAGCAGCATGAGTAGCAGCCACAGCAACAGAAGCAGAATCGCAGCAGGGGTGGCAGTTGGCGGTGGTAGCGGTGGTAGTAGTAGTTGTAGTTGTAGTTGTAGTTGTAGTTGTAGTTGCAGTAGTAGTAGTAGTAGTAGTAGTAGTAGTTGTTGTTGTTGTTGTTGTAGTAGTAAAAGCAGCAGCAGCAGCAGCAGCAGCAGCAGCAGCAGCAGCAGCAGCAGCAGTAGTAGTAGTAGTAGTAGTAGTAGTAGTAGTGGTAGTAGCAGTACGAGTAGTAGTAGTCGTCGTCGTCGTAGTCGTAGTCGAAGTCGTAGTCGTAGGGTGGTGGTGGTGGTGGTGGTGGTGGTGGTGGTGGTGGTGGCGGCGGGGGTGGTGGTGGTGGTGGTGGTGGTGGTGGTGGTGGTGGTGGTGGTGGTGGTGGTGGTGGTGGTGGGAG